GGAGGGGGCTGGTGGTGGCGGGGTGCGGCTGGTGGTGCGGGCACTGCGGCGGATCAGTGAGGGTGAGGAGGTCACCATCAGCTATGGGCAGGACAAGCGCAACGTCACCTTGTTTGCGAACTACGGTGAGCTTTGCTGGTCCCTTGATGATGCGGAGGTCAGCCGTGTAGTTGTGTGTGTACGTGTATGTGAATGTGTATGTATGTGTGCATGTGTGTGTATGCATCAAACGTGGCACGATGAGATTCGCGTGATGCCTGTTCTGCACCAGATGATAGGCTCAACAGCCGGGGGGCCCCAGAAGCACGCGCCATTCACAGGCCCCGAGCAGGCTTTGCGGCGCCCCCGCGGCGCGCGACGCCCAGGCTGCAGGTGCCGCGCACCCCCTGCTGATGTCATCGCCATGTCGGCTCCATTCGCCGCTCCAACCCCACCTACGCACTGGTCCAAAACCCGTTGCCGCCCCTGCCCAGGCTTCACGGTGCCCGGCAACCCCAACGACCGGATCCCCCTGCCGCCCGGCTGCGGGCCGGAGATCTCCCTGTCTCTCCTGAGGCAGATGGAGAGGCACATCACGGCGTTCCTGCATCGCTGCGACGCGCCCGGCGACGCGGCGTCCGCGCCCCGCGACGCCCTGGACCCCGTGGCTCCTGCGCCGCAGGCGCCGCGCACGGCGAGGGAGGGCGCCCCCGAGGGCGCCGGCCGCGGCGGAGGGCACGCGCGGCGGGCGGCGGGCGCGGCGGCGGCGCGGGAGCGGCTGCGGCTGATACGGGAGCGGGTGGCCGCGGCAGAGGCCGAGGCGGCGGCTGCCGGGATCATAATTGCCTGACGGCCGCTGAGTCCTCAACCACAATACCGTAGTTTCACCGTCTATGGTTCCCAAATCGCCTGCTCTCTCTGCTTGCCACAGCCTGCCAGGCCCCTTGCACACCTCCACACGAACGCTGCTCTATTACTTCAGATCCCACAACTCGTTACGGCCGATTGCGCCTGTCACCACAACGTCTAGCACGATTTGACTGCACCCCTGCCAAGGGCGCAGGCGCTGCCGTTGAGAGCACAGGCCTGTGGTTACAGCCAGCTGGTGACGTCATATCACAGCGGCTACCGTACAATCATGAGTGTATGTGCATCGCTCCATGCTATGACTACTTTATGCACCGCGGCTCAAATATGCATGCTTCTTGCCTTTGCGGGCACTCCATGGCTGACCCATCAGAACGCCCAAAGCGGGTAGAGCAAGCGGAAATGTGCAGGGCAGTAAGCAACAGCAGAAGCGTGTCTCATGAATTCGAGGTCTCAAAATTGCTGCGTGTCGCAACCGCAAGGGCAACTGTGCCGCACAGTGCAAGCCGCCAACCTCTTGCACAACCGCCAGGGAGGGAAGCGGCAACCTGCACATGCATGAGGCGCACGCAAGTCCGCGTCCGCGTCAGCGACCGCGTCCGCCGCTTCTCAGCCCATTGCGCCCGCCTGCTTGAGCAGCGGGACCAGCTTGCCCTGCTTGTTCAGCGACATCACGCCGGGGCCGTCGTTGCAGCCGCCGACAAAGGAGCCTGACGGGGGTTCGGAGGGGCACGGGCAGCAGAGGAGTGGGTGAGGCATGCACAAAGGCTCTACATTGGCTGCGCGCCGTCTAGGGGGCGTTTCTTCATTTTGAGGCTGCCTTTCCTGCAAACCCAGACCCACACCATCCCCAAAGCGTCTCATATGATGGGGTCGCCGCCCTGTTGCCCCAGTGGATGACTGCCTCATTGGATGGCTCACCCGAGATCCAGATGCTGGGCATGCTTGTGCGGTCGGTCATCTGCCGGATGGGATTGGGTCAGGTGCATCCGGGCAGGGCGTTGTTGGCAGGGATGGGAGGATGGACTACTGCGCAGCCACCAAGGTGATGGGGGAGTGGGCGCTCGCACACGCTCATGCGAGCAAGCACACAGGTCATGCATACACACATGTGAATGCGTGCGCTTGCGCGCGCGCGCACACACACACACACACACACACACACACACTCACACACAACATGCACATGCAGGCACCACGCCCCCACCTCTGCCAGCTCAGCGCGCAGCTGCATGCCCTCTGGGCCCATTTTGTCGAGCTCCAGGGCCTCGTAGTTGGCACCAAGCTCATTCAGCAGGCCCTTGGCCTTTTGGAGGGGGTGGGGTTGGGCAGGGGTGAGGCGAGGCGGTGAGAGGGTCAGGGGTGAGA